GTGCTCCCACTGCCAGCGGGGAGAAATAGAGACAGAGGTGCACTTCCTACTGCACTGTGACAGATACTCTGGGATTAGAGAAACATTCTTCCAGAAATACAGAAATCTAGTCCCACAGTTCCCACACCTGCCAGAATCACAACGGGTCCCAATCCTACTGGGAGAGGGAGGAGGGAACTCAGTTGAACTGGCAGCCCAGTATGTGATCTGCTCAATATGTTTACAGTATATGTACATATTTTATAATTTCTTTGTAGATTTTATTTTTTGTTTTGTTCCATGTTAATTTTATTTTTATTTGCTTTGGCAAAACTGATTGTACCCATCGGTCACGTTAATAAAGCACCTTGAATTGAATTGAGAGGAGAGAGGGGAGAGGAGGGAGAGAGAGGATGGGAGAGGGGAGAGGGGTTGAGCGGGAGGAGTGGACCAGAGAAGTCAGGACACACCATGAGACTCAGGGGCAGGTAAAGGGTCAGAGAGCGCGTTACCAGGTGCAGGGGGGTCCCGGTCCCCGTGGCGATGGCCCTCAGGGTCTGCTCACCCCCCTTCAGCAGGAACGTCCCCACTTTCTCCACCACCTCGCCGAAGTGCTCTTGCAGCAGCAGCGCGCACAGCCGCACCTCCTGCGCCGTCATCTGCACAGAAACACGTCCCAGCCGGGACAGACCTGCAACCGCTGGCGCCTACAGATGTAAAGCGCTGATTCCAGAATCCCACTCCTCAAGACTCACCCTGCTGCTTTACAAAGAAGGGGTTCTTTCCAAAACCACTTAAGCACAATGACTTTTATTTAACCGGCATTTGCCCAGCATATAACTCTTTCTGCCTTGTTTATATCGTTCCCATTTCCCTCGACAAGACACGTGTGCGCCATCTACTTCCGCTATTGCCTTGCCCCGCACAAAGATGGCGAATCTAGTCCCTCCCTTCCCACACACTTCCGGCCTTTACCCTTCGGCTTTTTCCGGTTGTGATCGGTCTTCTCGGGGGATGAAATCTCGGTCTAGTCCCGCAAGAGGCATTCAGGGCCGGTGGCGGACCGCCTCCTTCCGTGAGCTGGAGGACCGACGTCACTGTTTGTGCCATATTCCAGTGGAAGATGGCGGAGGCTGCGGCTGTTCCCCAACATCGTTTCTTCTGTCACTGCTGTAAGGGGGAGGTGAACCCCAAGCTGCCGGTGAGTAGTCCCAGTTCCCACCGACTTTGCTCTGATTGAGACAGGCCGGGCGGAGGCGCGCCTTTTGCGGTGAGCGGTGCGCACTCGAGCCCGGGGCTGTGCTTGACACTCCGAGTTTGTTTACAGGCCTTGTTTGGCTTTAGCTGGTGGGGGGCGGAAGGGGGGAGGGAATGTTTCGGATTTTATTTATTGATCCGCTCCCGCGGGTGTCGGTGTGCATCTCATATTTCGGGGGTTTGTTCGAGGGCAGGGGAAGAGACCCGCCGGGCTGTTGTCAGTCATCTTCGGGGGTCAGCGGCGAGCGGCGTCCGTCGCAGGGGTTGCGGGAGTCCGCAGCTGGGACTGAGCTGTCGCGGCTCTCGGCTGGAGGACAGGGGTCATAGACAGCCCAGTCTGGGAGTGGGTTCGGACCTTGTCAGTCTGGGGAAACGCGTTCCGGTGCTGGAATCAGTCTGGGACCTGATGTGGAGACTTCAAGTACCGTCGAGACGACCTGCTGCTGTTTAGATAACAAAAGCCTGTCAGTGCGCGGTAACTATACAGGTAACTACAGCCGTCCTGTCAGTGCGCGGTAACTATACAGGTAACTACAGCCGTCCTGTCAGTGCGCGGTATCTACAGTCAGGAAACCACAGCCGTCCTGTCAGTGCGCAGTAACTACACTCAGGTAACTACAGTCGTCCTGTGGGTGCGCAGTAACTACACTCAGGTAACTACAGTCGTCCTGTCGGTGC